AGAGAGAGAGAGAGAAAGAGAGACATGAAAGAAAATTGAGACGCCATCAGCGGGTGTTGCTGTGCACCACGGCTACGTTCCACTTGTTTTCAATAATGGCAATAATTGGCCTCAGCCAAGAAGCTAGCATGATCTATGGCGATCTTGCTAAACTTCTCATAGGTCATCCCCTATTCCTTTGTACGGGGATACAACTGAGTACGAAGGGGGTCGGGTAGTGCTCGTGCAAAACTATTCAGTATCTCAGCAGGGGTCAGTCCATGTTCATTGCATTGCAGCAGTTCATCCATGGTTGCTTTAAGCGCAGAGGTGCTCTTCCATTTTTTGTCTGGGAGGTTCAGAACTAACATCTCAGTCCTGCGGGCCAAGTTTTTGTCCTCAAACCGCTCTCGGATGGCTGTAAAGAAATCTTCAATGCGGGTTTTCTGGGAATACTCTACCATGGATCCGCAACCTGCTTCCTTCTGCAGGGAGATTGCGAAGCTCATGGCATCTCCCTCCATACACGAACTTGCCATTAGCACCCTGTCCCAGTACGGAATGTGTTGTCCGTAGACATACGACTCGACTGCTGCAATCCAGTGTAGCGCACTTTGCTCTTTCCTACCATTATATGTCCATGGGATATTGACTTTAATTTTACTGACTTGACCTACTTCATTTGGCAGCAACCCCTTTTGTTTTTTGTCATTGTCTTTGTCTCCCCCATCTCCATCTCCGTCTCCTCCGTCTCCTTTGCCACCACCTATCACCTTCTTTACCACGGCGGAATCTGCCAATTTCTTGGCCAACTGCTCATCCAACTTCTGTATGCAGCTGAACATGTGCTGGTCAACTTCCTGCGCTGATCGCTGCAGAAGTTGTTCCACAGTCCCTCAAATTCGAATTGGTGATTCTCTAACTTTTGCACAGACTTGGTCAACGCAGCAAGTTGTTCATTGGTGTGAAGGAGAATATCTGTGAGGAGGGTAAGGCGGTCATCCGTGGCCGCTTGGTGCTGTTTTTGTTCCTGTAATTGTCTCTGAAACTTTTCCCCCTCCTCTTTTAATCTCTTTTTCTCTTCAAATTCCTGTCTCTTTGCTGTCACCATCCTATTATTCAGTTCTGCTTTTCGTTCCGCTAT